GCCAGTAAAGAGACGAAGTGAATGTTAAAAGGAGTGCGAGAATCCCCCGGGATAACTGGGACTGGGTCTCAGGGAGGGGTTGGATCCCTCGAAGGAAGGGAGTAGAGAAGTTTCCTAGCCCAATCCACTAGGAAATGGGACAAAAGGAAGGGACCCCTAAAAATTCTGCTGGATTGAGGGATAAGAGTGCCCAAGAGCATCCAGAATTAAAACCTGCTAGGTTGAAGGATTAACACTCCAAGACCATCCAGGGTTGAGCAAAATTCTGCCGGATTGAGAATATGCCCAAGAGCATCTGGGGTTGGACAACACAGCTGGGTTGAGGGATATCCAAGAGCACTGGGACTGGCCAGTAACACCTAAAATTGTAATAAGTTATTTGAAAGTAAAAGGTACCTTATTGTTGTCTTGTGTGTGAGAGTTAAACACAAAATCAGCCTCAACTTCCCGGGCAGGTGGGAAGGGGGGGCTGTGGAAAGAGGTGCATGTGACCCGCAAACAGGCCATTGTTCTCCCAGACGCATGGAGAGGGCTGTGGCTAGAGAGTGTGTGACACCCACACAGCCTCACAGGTGAACTGGCACCAGAGGCACCAGAGCCAGGGCCCTTCCCAGAGGCCCAGTGATACTGAAACCCGGAGGCCAACCCCAAGGCAAGGGGGGGCCACAGGGACCCGTGATTCTCTGAAAACAGGGATCTGCTTGGGATCCTGAGGGTGTAAAAGAATGTGTGAAAGTGAATGAGAAATAAAAGTGAGTGAATGTAGACGAATGAAAGTATATGTAATGTAGATTGTGTATTTTAAGCTTCACTATATCTCCTTGGAGGGAGGTGTATTGTATTGGAAAGCAGTGTGAGAAAAAGGTTTTTTTATTTTTGTGTGTGTGTGTAGTTGAAAGAAAAGTGGTATTTAGGTTGTCAGTGAAAGTAAAAACAGAGGGAGGGGATGAATAGACAAGATCTCGAAAATGGAACAGAAAACCAGTAAGGTAGGGTATGCAGTAGTTGATGGGAAAAACATGCAAACTATAGAAAAAGGGAAATTAACCTTAAACTAGTAAGCCGAAACTTCTGAATTATATGCTTTAAAAAGAGCATTAGAATATTTAACACAAAAGAAAGGAACTATATATACTGATTCAAGGTATACCTTTAGAGTAGTACATACCTTTAAAAAATTTGGAAAGGTAGAAGATTACTTAATTCAAGAGGAAAAGGATTAGTACATTAGGAACTTGTTTTAGAGATTTTAGAGGCATTAAAATTACCTAAAAGAGATAGCTATAGTACATATTAAGGGACACCAAAAGGGAAAGACCCCAGAAATAAGAGGAAATAATTTGGCAGATCAGGAAGCTAAGGATGAAGCAGAGTGAAAAACGCCAATCACTTGCTTAAAAAATTAAAGCACTTTGTGAGGTTTGGAGAGCCAGCA